TGGGGATTCACATCTACAGATCTAAAGGAAGAAATATTCTCGTGGGAAGAATGAGGGCTGTGTGATTACACATAAGTGACAAGACACACAGGGTACTCACTAAGGCTAATTAGGCTAGGGTCCTAAGGCTAATCTGCCATTACCATCCTCCTTCCCCAGTACTCCCCAGTCATGTTATAAACAGAACACCACACCTTCTGGTTGCAGGTAGAGCTTCTCTGAGTGATGTGCACAGGAGTAGGCAAAAGAAGGAAAACATAGGAAAGGGGAAAGTGTTGTGGGATAAAAAGAAGGAGGGAAGAGTAGAAAGAAGGGAAGTGAATAAAAAGGATAAAATGGGACTAGAAAGAAGGGGAGGGGTGGAAAGAAGGAGGGAAAAGGGAAAAAGGAAAAGGAAGGTTGGTGTAAGTTACTAACAACCTCACACTGACTGAGTGGCACTGGGCCAGTGCCCAGTAGGTCCAAAGGGGAACCAGGAAGCTGGCAGGGGCCCCTTGCTCTGACTCAGAGGCAGTGGGGAGTAGTAGTAGGGGTTAGGATCATTCCTCAACTTTGGGACTCAACTACTTCAATACCAACTACCTCTCAATGCCCACGTAGGCAAATGGGCCACTGATGTTCACATGGCTCTAACACATCCAAGAGGTAGAGCTTAATGGCCAAAGCTTGGGGCACCAGGGTGGTTCAGTTGGTTAAGCATCTGCCTTTGGCTCAGGTCATAATCCCAGAGTTCCAGGAACAAGCCCCGCATCAGGCTCCATGTTCAATGGGGAGTCTGCTTCTCCTTCTCTCTCTGCCCCTCTCCCCCTGCTTGTGTGCATGTGCGCTCTCTCAAATAAATCAAATATTTGTTTAAAAAAATGGCCAAAGCTCTGGTAGTGAATATTACTTCTCTTGTTAACTGTTATTAGCAAAACAGACAGCAAAACAACAAAAATCAAGTAACTCAATGTTCCCAGCACCTTGACAATCAGCTTTTCTGAGAAGGTCTGTGTCTGCTTCTATTCTGGTCGTCCCACAGTGTTCAGTTCAGTGGTATACCCACCAGACATTTAGTAAATAGTTGGACAGCTGGAAAATCTTAACATGAAGTATTGTTTTGATTGGGGGTGGGGGTGCAGAAGAATGTTTACTATGTCCTATGCTGAGAAATCAGTCTCTGCTTTGTGGAGAAAAGGCTGAAGACACAATAAGACTCCCGGAGTTAAGTCTTATGTTATTTGTTATTAAAGAGGCAAGGTCTTAAGATGTGCCTTTTAACAGTCTTTAGTTTGGTTGTAATTTAAGATGACTTTTGCAAATTAGATCCTAATCCTTGCAGACACAGATGGCTGTTACAGAATAGCCCTGCAAAAACACTAGTCATTTGACTTGAAAGAGTATTCAGACAAGGATGAAGGGCCATTAACTCTCACCCTACCCCTGGCTCTAGGAGGTCTAAGGAGTCCTGGGTGGGCTTTAGATCTGGGTCTAGAATCTGGGTGGGCCTAGGGCTTCTTTCCTCATTTGGAACAGTTTCCCTAGGTCACTCTGGAATCAGGGATTTAGGTCAGACTGGAGAGCATTACCATTTGAAAACAGTAACTAAATGCTTATGTGTGAGGTACCATGCTGGGAACTTCAGGGGGGGTAGACATGAACATGATATGGACAGCCTTTGTAAAAAAAATTATAGAACAACAGGACTTCTATGAGAGAGGAATATACAAACTGCAATGGGTACATAGGTGAGGAGCTTGGGAGAAGGGAAGGGCTTCTGAAAGAGGATGACATTTGAGCTAGTCATTAAAAGATGAAGTCAAACAGGCCAGGAAAAGTGGGGAGGGTGGATATTCAAGGATGAGAGAACACGTTCCAGAGCACAGAGGCATGAGAGTCTCTTGTGTCTTCCATGAATAGTGAGCAATCTCTTTTCTCCTGGTGATAGAAATATGTAATGAGAGGCAGAACTTAAAGTGGGAAAGGGAGGTATGGACCAGATTGTGAAGAGTTTTTGAAAAACATTCTCCGCAGTCTATCCTTATCCTAGGGCTATAAGGAACTATTATGAGTTTTTAAACAAGAAAGGGAATGATCAGAATGGGACTTCAGAAAAATCACTCTGCGCAGATAATATCAGGTTGACCAAGGACCATAAAATGGATCTGTAATGGATTATCAGGAAGCTCTTGATTCTTCCTAGAGAATCAAGCCTCTGGTTAGACTTTTCCTCTGGGAAACTGGGACAAACATGATCTAAACTGGCCTTAAAGTAGAAATAGGATAGGGATGAAAGGGACACTTGGAGAAGAGACTGTTAACTGGATTGAATAGTGTTCTTCAGCAGAGTAAAGGGTGAATGATTGAGATTTAAATCAAGAGTGCATTTTCTCTAAGACTAGGTGACTGACCCTCCATTTAGGGCAAATTCACAGTGAACACAGTCTGCACTGAAAAGGCTGAGTGTTGGATTGGTAGAACTTTAGGTTGGGCAGGAAGCAGGCCCAAGAGCCTTCTGCATTTCACTTCACAGTTCCCTTATTTATTTGTGGCAGCAACCTATAGCCTACATTTCTACCTTGCGGGAAGAGGTCATTAATACTGACCATAAAATCCAACTTCTTTAGAGATTGTTCCCCCTCACCCTACCTCCAGTAATCAGGTTTAAAAATTAATTTGAAAGAAAATAAAGCTTAATTATAAAAGCCAGCAAAGTCCCTTAGACTCCATCACTTCTAATACTTTCATTTCCAAATGAAAGGCCCAGAAGCCGAGTGCGAGTGCCTTAAAACCAAGGGTTGTGATCTTAGAAGTTCTCATCACAAGAGAAAAAAAATTTATAACTACATATGACAAAGGATATTAGCTAGACTTATTGCGGCAATCATTTTGCAGTGTTCACAAATATTGAATTATGTTGTACACTTGAAACCAATATAAAGTTATATGTTAATTATACTTAAATTTAACAAACAAACAAACCAAGAATTGGGAGAGACTAAGTTAACTAAGTTAGCTCCTAAATTTTGTAAGTTCTTTAAGAGAGATGTTCATCATAGATTCATCACAGAACAGTAAGTATGAGAACCAGGGTGATATTGAACCCTTTGTTAGTGGCTCTTTCCTAAGTGGCTACACATTTATAGTTTAACTTCAGTGTCAAAATTAGTTTCTTACCTGGCTATGCAGTACACAAAGCATGTAAACATATGTGTTCCCTGGACATGTCTGTGTGTGTGATATATGAACAAAGAGGAAGAGCTTGGAGCAGTAGGTGGGGCTAGTGAGAGAGGAGCCAATGGCAGCATCTCTGGTCCATTCTAGTTTCCTTGGCTTAGACATAAGTAGTAGGATCCTCATCCCACCTAAGAATTTTGTGGCTGAGTGGTAGGGCTAGACATATACCGCTGGTTTCTGTCTCTGCTCTGCAAATCTGACAGCCACTGTGAGGGACTAAGATGAACCTTAATCAAATTCTTGGTTTTGTGTTTTAGATGAAGTCTAAGTTAGTAGATCTCATAATTATTAGATCAAAATGGAATCACAGAATATTAAGATTTACTGTGTATCTTAGAGGTAAGCTAGTCTAAGCGCCATCCCTCTTAAAGTAGGAACACTGGGAATGAATCCTTCTCCATATAAGTCCAGTATTGCTGAAAAGGGATCATTTAGTAGTTGCTGGTTATCTCCAATGACAGGAAAACCAGTACTTCACAACACAAGACATTCATTCCCTCCTTAGAAAATACTTTCTTATATTGGGCCAAAATTGCCTCCTATAACTTTCAAATCATTGGTCTCAGTTCTCTGTCCTTAGAAACTCACAAAGTAAGATCCCTCTTTTTCATGGCAGGCCTTCAAGTAGCTGAAGACAACAATCAAGTCTCCCATGGCTTTTCCATCTTTAGAGGAAATGTTCATCAAATGACATGATTCCCAGTTCCCTCATCTTCCCATTAGCCCTGCTGTGGACATGCTCTTTTTTTCTTCAGGCTTTATTAGCATGTAGTCTAAGGGCTCTTTGTGGGCAAGTTTATCTTAGTACACAGTTGAATAGGACCATTAAGTTATCTTCTTGTTGGGATTATACCTCCAAAAAAGCAGCTAGCATTTTGTTAGCAGCCACAACACAATAATGTATTTTCAGCTCAATTCAAACATAACCTCTGATAATGAGTGGTCTTTCCATTCCAAATGTGAGTAATTAATTCTCTAAATCTAATGTGGGAATCTCTCTCTTTCTATCCTGAATATTTCTGTAAAATTCCTATAGGTTCATTTTTGTTTATTGTTTCAGTATTTTAAGGTTTTCTTGAATCTTATTTTTCATAATCCATACATCTGATAAAGTCTTCATACAAGGTCCAATAAGCATGGTGAGTAATAAAGGATTAAATACAGAACCTCTTGGTTTCCTCTAGGGAGAGGACAATCACTTAGTCAACACTTTTTGGATACCATCATTTAATCAGCAACAAAACTACCTAACTATAGATTTACATCTTTCTACTTTGCCCCAGGACACTATTAGAGACCATCAAATACCTTGCTGAAATATAGAAATACAGTGAATTTAAGTCACCCTCTGTGACTTTCCAGGATAGTAAGAACTATCAAATCACAAAATACTCTTGGTTTAGCATGACTTAGTGAACCTATAATCACTGACCCTGACTGAATTGTTAAGCTGTTAAGCACACAATTCTCAGATCTACTCTGAGGTGTACAGAGATGAGATCTTGGGAGAGCTTATATGGATGCTGGAATAGGGGAAACAGCTAGGAAGGAAGAAAGACCCAGTACCTAATTTCTTCTATAGGCTCCTGGGTACAAGTCTGTCAGCCTGGGTACATACCTTCTCTGAAGGCTGAGGAGAGAATGGTGTGCAAAACAAAATACTCCTAGGTGTGTGGTCTTGTAGTAGGCTGTACCATGGGACTTTTCTTGGGCTACTTTGACCAGCCCTAATAATGGGATATCTCCCACTGGACACATTTCCTAAAACAGGCATATGAACTTACGTCTCTTCTAGGAAAGGTACTCAGCAACTTGAACTCATCCCATGGATATCCTTTGGAAGCTACAAAATCAAAGACAATCTGGAGCTTATTGCTGGCCAGGAACCGCCGCTCAAGGAACTCTCCACTGGGGGTCCGGATCCGCAGTTTGCTCACAGGTTCAGCATTTTCTTCCTTTGGCTCTGGAGGCAGGGCCTGCTCTAAGGAGAGCCGGATGGCCTAAAGAAGGCAAAAACCAGGTGTCAAAGTGTATGATAGGACTGTGGGAAGTGGGGGCAGGGAGAGCCTAGAAGAAAGCTGCTGCTTTGTATTAACTCATCGAGTCCATTTATTAACCGATCCTGATGCTTGACTATAGAATCATGTTTTTCATATTCTTAATATTAACTCAATAAGCAATTAATTAAAATAAGTCCCACCTTGATGACATGTATTATTAAACTGACAGATAATCACATAGGAAAGAAATGTAATTTAATTGTTTTTACTGAAGAACTCAGGTGTTTGTGATTTAGGAAGGAGGTATCAAATACCCAATTGCTTCCTTTCTAGTGTATGAATTAAGGCTATTAGAAACCTTTACAAAAGACAAACATGTAAATAATGTATTTGAAAAACATACATTTTCCAAGTCAAAATAACTAAAGAGTTTGTAGAATACTAAACATTAACATCAAAATGGAGTGGAAAGATTCACTTGGGGTGATGAAAAACTTTGGAAATCGTGGTGATGGCTGCATGACATTATGAATATAATTAATGCCCCTGAATTGTACACTTAAAAATGGTTACAAAGGCAAATTTCTGTTATAGATATATATGTTGCTGCAATAAAAAGAAGTGGAATGGAATGGAGAGAAATTAAAATATCAGGTATATTGGAGGTAGGAGAACATAGTCCTAGTTCCAGCCTTGTCACTAACTTGCTGTGGGATTTGGCCAAATCCAGATTTCTGGATCTAGAAGTGGCCCAAACTCTTCATTTCACAGGTAAGAATACCTCAAATAGGTGGAGTATACTGTTGAGAGATCTCATGGCTAGAGCTGGGCTTGAACCCAGGTTTCCTAGTTATCGACCTATAATATTGCATAATTTCACATTCATGATACATTCCATTGGATACTCCACTGGAAGTCAGAAGGTCTCTGATGTAGGAATCTATGGCAGAAACTCACGAAAACCTTTTTGTTTCCATTACCTCAGGAGGCTTCTTAGGTAAATAAGTCTGGTATTGGCATGCTCATTCTCAGTTATATTCTTGCCTGGTTACTTTGACATTTTCATGTTCCCAATTTGTCATCAATAGAAAAACAAAATATTCCCTCAATTGATCTACAACTATTTTTTAAAATTTATTTATTTATTTGAGAAAGAGAAAGAGAGAGAGAGAGAACAAGCATAAGCAGGGGTAGGAGCAGAGGGAGAGGGACAAGCAGACTCTGTGCTGAGCACAGAAGCCGATACGGGGCCCGATCCCATGACCCTGAGATCACGACTTGAGCTGAAATCAAGAGTTGGAGGCTTAAATGACTGAACCACCCAGGCATCCAAATCTACAACTATTATAATCATGTAACATGAGTGAGAGAAATTGGGATTTCTGTTCTCTAAATCCTTAACAGCAATTTTCAAAGTTGGTGTCACTCTTCCAACTGGGGGAAAAATATTTAAGAAATTCTATAAACAATTCTTGGGCCAAGGGGAACTATAAATAAAGGATACAGAATATCTAGAAAACAATGATTGTTGAAACACATCATGTTGGAATTCATGGGATTCATCCACAGCTCAGAGGAAATTCATAGCCTTAAAATTCTTATATTATTGGAAAAGAACAAACAAGAATAGGCTCAGTCAGTAGAACATGTGACCCTTGATCTCAGGGTCATGAGTTCAAGACCCACATTAGGTGTAGACCTTACTTTGGGGGGAAAAAATGAAGAACTAGACTAAAAAACTAGGGGGGAAAAAACAATAAAAGAGGTGGGGAGGGGCACCTGGGTGGCTCAGTGGGTTAAAGCCTCTGCCTTTGGCTCGGATCATGATCCCAGGGTCCTGGGATCGAGCCCCGCATAGGGCTCTCTGCTCTGCAGGGAGCCTGCTTCCTCCTCTCTGCCTGTCTCTCTGCCTATTGGCGATCTCTGTCTGCAAAATAAATAAATCTTTAAAAAAATAGGTGGGGAAAAAAGCTTAGAAGAAAATAATTAGAGGGGTGCCTGGGTGGCTCAGTTAGTTAAGCATCTGCCTTTGGCTCAGGTCATGATCCCAGGGTACTGGGATTGGACCCCACATTGGGCTCCCTGTTCAGTGGGAAGTCTGCTTCTTCCTCTGCCCCCTTATCTCCTTAAATGTATTTAAAATAAACAGAGAAACAAAGTTTGCTCAGACAACAGTACCAATAAGAAAGTAACTCTCTGTCATTCAGGATAATTTGGTTGGTTGTAATACTTCAGTATTTGTAAAAAAAAAAAAAAAACACTAAGAATTTCTGCAGTGTACAGTAAAAGCTATGACTCTCAAGTAATTTTCCTTCTTGAGGCACAGGATAATATCACCTGCCTTAGGGGACTATAAAAGATGGGAATCACATATAAGACATATGTGAAGTTTCCAGTGTAGTGTGTGATATATAATAGGCTTCAGTGAATGCTTGCTTGGGGCTGCACTGGTTAAATAGTCCTATAATCTCATTTTTATATGGGAAATTGAGGCCAAGAAATGGTGACATAAGAAATTTAATCCAAAAATCAGAATAATAGGAAGTTAAACCAGTTATTTTTGCCCTTCCCTCCTTCCTTCCTTGGATAGCATGAGTAGAAATTTATCTAATATTGGTGTTTTGGTCAGCAATGAGTTTCAGATGAATATTTTCAAATATTAAACTATTTTAGTAGCACTGTCATATATTAATAACCCAATGAATAGATAAACCTGTGTTTATCAAAATTAAATTCCAGTTGTACTATATCTATTCTAGCATTCTCTATCCTGTACATGGTTATTTAATGTCTGGCTTTCCCACTAGCTTGTAACCTCTGTAAGACTGGAAACATGTCTTCTTAAGAGTAATGCATAGCACAAAATAGATACTCAATATGTATTTGATAAGAGAAGGAATAAACTAAAATGTTAAGTGAAATAACATGCAGAAATGTTCAGTATGGTGATAAGCACACAGCTGGTGCTAAATGTTAAAAGAATCTGACTCTCATGGGCTTTACCTCTAGTAACCAAGAACTAATCATTCCTTTCTCTGAGGTCTGATTTCCTCCAGCATCAACTTTCAGATTAATTTTCTACATACATGTCCTTTAAGGGCTAACCAAGAGTTGCTTGGAGGGATAAACAACCTCTGTGGATTAGAGTTGTGTACATTTTCAAAACTATTAAGTGGTATCATTTGACTATTGTTTTTCAAAGAGTTATTTATTTATTTTAGAGAGAGAAAGAGAGAGAGGGAGAGCATGTGAGCGGGAGGGGCAGAGGGCAAGAGAGAGAGAATCTCAAGCAGATTCCATGCTCAGTGTGGAACTGGGTGCAGGGCTCAATCTCCTGACCCTGAGATCAACACCTGAGCTGAAACCAAGAGCTGGACGCTTAAAAGACTGTACCAACTGAGCAGGCACCCTTCATTTGACTATTTTTTAACACCATGGTTCTTTAAAAGTATGTCTTTGATGGCCAACAGACACATGAAAAGATGCTTATTATCACTTACCTTCAGGGAGATACAAATCTAAATTACGAGGTATTACCTTACATCTGTCAAAATGGCTAAAATCAATAACACAAGAAACAACAGGTATTGGCAAGGATGTGGAAAAAAAGGAACCCTCTTGCACTGCTGGGTGGGAATGTAAACTGATGCAGCCACTCTGGAAAACAGTATGGCGGCTCCTCAAAAAGTTAAAAACAGAACTACCCTACAATCCAGCAATTGCACTACTGGGTATTTACCCAAAGAATACAAAAACACTAACTCAAAGAGATACATGCACCCCTATGTTGATTTATTTAGTTTAAATATTTTATTTATCTATTTGACAGAGAGTGAGAGCACAAGTAGGGGAAGCAGCAGAAGGAGAGGGAGAATCAGGCTTCCTGCTGGGCATAGCCTGACACAGGGCTTGATCCCAGGACCTTGGGATCATGAGTAGAGCCCAACACAGACACTTAACCAGCTGAGCCACCCAGGCACTCTAACCCTATGTTTATACAGAAGCATTATTTATAATAGCCAAGATATGGAAGCAGTCCATGTATCCATCAATTGATGAATGGATAAAGAAGAGGTGGTATATACAATGTGAATATTATTCAGCCATAAAAAAGGATGAAATCCTGCCATTTGCAACAACATGGATGGAGCTACAGAGTATAATGCTAAGTGAAATAAGTCAGTCAGAGAAAGACAAATACAATATAATTTCACACATTTGTGGAGTTTAAGAAACAAAACCAGTGAGCAAAGGAGAAAAATGAGAGAGAGAAAGATACAAACCAAGAAAGAGACTTGTAATTATTGAGAACAAACTGATGGTTACCAGAGAGGAGGTGGCTAGGGGATGAGTGAAATAGGTGATGGGGATAAAGGAGTGCTCTTATCAGGATGAGCATTCGGTGATGTATGGAATTGCTGGATCACTATATTGTACATTTGAAACTAATATAATACTACATGTTAAATGGAATTAAAATAAAAACTTAAAAAATACTATGTCCTTGAGATTAAAAAATATTTTTCCTGATTATAAAAATAATGTATATAATCATTGCAAAAATAAATAAGAAAAGCATTACAATTAATTTCCATATTCAGGGGCACCTGGGTGGCTCAGATGGTTAAGTGTGTGCCTTTGGTTCAGGTCATGATCCCAAGGTCCTGGATTGAGCCCTGCATCGGGCTCCCCACTCAGTGGGGAGTCTGCTTCTCCCTCTCCCTCTACCCCTCCACCTTCTCATGCTCTCTCTCAAATGAATAAATAAAATCTTAAAAAATAAAACAAAAGAAATTAATTTCCATATTCACCATCAAGAGATAGTCACAGCTATCATTTGAGTGTTTACATCTATTGATTTTTTAACCATTTTTAAGTGTACAATTTAGTGGCCTTAAGTACGTTCACAATGTTGTATTACTATCACCACCATTTATTTATATTACTATATATACTATATATTCTATATATGGTAATATATACTATATTATACTATATTA